CGCGGCTGCCGGGCCCGGAGCTGCTGCCGCCGCCGCTGCTGCTGCTGCTGCTGCTGCCCGGGAGGCGGCTGGCGGCGGAGGCTCGGCTCCCAGTAGCCGCACATCCCACAATACACCGCTAAGGAGCCCGACCCGAGCGCTCACCCTCCTCCTCTTCCTCCTCCTCCTCCTCTTCCTCCTCCCCTCTCCTTCCTCGCCGCTTCCCCAGGCACTCTCCCGGCGGCGGCAGCTGCGCCGCCAAAGCCCCGGGCCCCAGCGGCCCCCCACCCCTCACTCGCGCGCTCCCACACTGCCTCCCCCCTCCCCGGGGGAAGGCCTTTTAATTTATTTATTCTGCTGGGACTTAGGTGGGGGGCTTGGCTGGCGGGGGAGGGGGTCTCCCCAGGCTCTACCTCCCGCGGCTGGGGCTACCCTCCGAGCCGCGGCCGCCGCGGCGTGCGCCTCGGGCCTCCAAAACTGTTTCCAAACTGCCGAGACCGGAGGTGGGCGCGCGGGGGCTCCGGGGGAAGGGCCGGGTTTTGGGGTGTGTATGTGTGTGGGATTGTGTCTTTGGACGCTGGGAGCCGTGGGGAGAGGCAAGACGACTCAAGACGAGTTGCAATCGAGGTATCTCAGCGCCGGCTTCCTCTTCTGCCCCGCGACCCCCTCCCCCCTGGAGCTGAGCTGGGGAGGGGAAACCAGGATTTTAACCAAATTAGCATTCACATTCCTGGGAGGATGCAGCCCTCGCCTGGACCTGGGTGATAGAAGCTTCTTTCTGTTTTTATTTTTGGAGAGGAGCGCCCTGTAATTGTCTTGAACACATGCTTCTGTCTCCCCCCCCTCCTTCTTCCTCCAGCCACCAGCGGAGGAGAGAGTCCCCCTTTTTTGCATTTATCTTTTCCTTCCCCTTTCTTTATTAAAGGTCCGGGAGTGGCGGCGGCCAATCAGCGCGCGGCTTCCATTTTGTGAGTTCAACTCCGAGGCTCCCGGGCTTCGCGAGGACGCATTTGCAGCCCCCTCTGCCTCTCCTCTCGGGCGGCCGAGGCGAGGGAGCCGCCTCGCCGGGGCTTCGTGGTGGTGTATTTCATGTTGGGGCTCTTTTCGGGGTTTGTAATTTGGCCGTGGGTAGGTAATTGGCTGGAGCAGGGCGGCAGGGCGCGGCAGCCAATCAGCGCGCGGCTTCTATAGGGCTTGAGTTATTAGACGCTGGTCTCAAAACATCCTTCATCAGACACCAAGGAGAGGCCAACAGATGAGGGGAGCCATTTTTCTGCAATGGAATTAAATGGCCAAGTGGGTTTTTCCTTTGTTGCAAATGGGGAATGTTTTTCCTTTGACTCCACCATCCAGTTCAGGACGCCTCAGTGTTCTGTTTAACATTTGTCAACAGGCTAAAGGACTCACAATTGGAAGAATGAAGAAGACTTTTTAAAAAGATCTGGATTTTTCCTTATGACTTGGAATCCATCTTTGTCTTGTATAACTAGGTCATAGCACACCATTAATGTCAGCAGTTAACAATTTTGAATTCCAAAAAACCTAAGTAAATGACATATTTAATTTTTTTTCCTCTTTTTTTCTTGGGTGGGTGGGGGGATCTTGGAGCTGTCTTAATCTGTATTCTCTTGACTGAACAATAAATTTTTAAATATATATAGTTTCCTCTATTAAACACTTAAACCTGGCCATCTTATTAACTCCTTCTGCTCTCTTTTTAACAAGGTAATGTTTTAAATGTATAGTTTTAGGACTAGCGAAATGGCAGCAACAAAAAAATTGTAAGCAATTGTTACTTTTAAGTTTCTAAAAACCTTTTACATTGTAAGTACCCAATCCATTCTGTCCTTACGCAGTGCAGTTTTCATGTTAATGTTGCTGAGATGTCCTTAATTTTCTGAACCTTCATCTGCATGTATGTCTTTGTCGCTCTTGTCTAATATAAGCCAGTTAAAATGCTTTTAGACGATTTTATAAAGCTAAGGTTTTTTAGCTTTAAGCTTTTGAAAATGTTTACAGCCATAAATGCTAGTCAGCTTTCTTCCCAGTAACATGTACACTTTCTTTGAAAATCGATCTATTTGAAGAAAAACAGCTCTGTTTTTGTCGTCTTGGTAGGGGAGTGGGTGAGGGAAAGGAAGACCTTCTCTTTGTGTAAAGAGACTAAAGCCGTCACAGGAAACTAGATTAAAACTGGAAAACAAGTCCTAGCTGGTTCGAGCCAAACACCAACGTTAACGCGGGTATTTTCTATGGTGGTTGGGATGGCCGGTGCGTCTTATGCCTTTTGTTTGATTTGACTGTGTATTTTCGCCTTTTGTCTCTTAATGACGGTCACACCATTGCTATATCCAGAGCAGTAAACAGTCCTCTGCGAAGCCGCCTTTTGCCAACCCAACCCTGGAAAGTTTGCAGAAGTGGAAGGAGCAGAAAATGCCATGAGAGTGTAACTTACAAAAAGGTAACAGCAACAAAAAAAGACACCACCATTCCCCCAAATATTCCCAACTAAACAATCCCCCCAAAAGATATTCAAAACCTCCGCCCCGCTTGATCTTCCAGACTCCATGGCACCGGGCTGAGCGGGTGAGTAAAAAAAAAAAATGCCTTTTGCCCCTTCGAGGAAATCTTTTTTCGAGCAGGCCAAGAGCTGCAAATGTTTGGGAGCTGAGGAGAGAAGGAGGTTTCTGGAGCTTTATGTTTGGCAGCCGGATCGGGGAGGGGTAGGGGGACACGGTGGGCTCTTCAAACCCTTTTGCCCCTTCTGCCCCGGAGGCGAGAGGAGGGCCTCCCCAGCGACCTCGGGCGTCCACGGGGCCGCCTGCGCTCGTCCCCCTCGCTTTCCTAGGTCTGAGCCTTGGTGGGGAGAAGAAATTAAAGTGCTTTGCAAAGGAGGGGCTCAAAAGACAGGGAAACCCACTCCCCCCCAGCCCAGGGCCTCGTTCCCTTTTGATTGGGGGGGGTCTCGCCCTCCGAAGCCGGCTTTCCGGGGCTCCGGGGCGCGCCTGCACTTCCTAAGCAAAAAGGACAAAGGCCGGCGTCCATGTTGGCACCATGACGCAGCATCTCTCGCGCCTGCAGCCCGCGCGCTGCCTGTGCTCCCGGCCGCGCTCGCTCCTCCCTGCCCAACTCGAGTTTTATTTTCAGGTTCAGAGCGGAGCCGCGGCCGGGGCCGGGGTCGGGCCGGGCCGGGGCTGGCGGGCGGGCCGGCC